TATCTATATTTAAATTTTGAGATTTTTGTAATTTAGTTGATTTATTGATTTGTATTCACATGTGTTCTTTTGTTTTATTTTTCTATTTCTTTATACGTTTTCAGTTTTTCATTTACATTGTTGATAAATCTAAAAAACAAAAATAAATTAATAAATTATAATAATATTAAAATATTTGTTTGTAGTTGTCAGTTTTCTTTTGTTTTATTTTTCTATTTTTTTGTGTGTTTTATGTTACATTCATTTGCGTTGTTCATATATCCAAAAAAACAAAAATAGATTAATAACTAATAAAAGTATAAAAAATAAAATAATGAAATAAAAAATAGATTTAATTTGAAAAAAAGAATAAGATGGTGAGTGAAAAGAGTTGGAAGAGTGAGAAAATGAAAATTGAAAAAATCTCAAATAACAAATTAACACATACAACTTTTAGTTGAAGAATGTTGAATTAATTGAATAATTAATTTTTTACTATTTTAATCTTTTGCAAATGAAAATAATTTTGAAGTGAAAGACAATATTGATAGTTGTGTGTTGTGTGACTTAATGGCGAAAGTTCAAATCTTAAGAATGTATTTCTCTTCAAGTCTATGATTTGAACTATGTTAGGTGCAAATTGCTTATAAAAAATAGATATATAATTGATTAGACAATTTACTAAATATTTAAAATGTCATATGATTATTTATTTTCAATCTAATATTATTTATTTTCAATTTAATTGAAGAGACATTTATGTTATATGTTAACATATGATATTAATTTAGTGTTACAAGTTCGACTTGGTATTCTCAAAATTCGCTTACAAGACCATTAGTTAATCCTTTGGATAATTACTTGAATTACATCAGTTAGGGTCTATTTGTTTTAATTTTTTACACATATTGATGATCTTATGACTATTATCGTAAGGTGTGACAATTGGGAGACTAAGAGGGTATTGATCGATCAAGGAAGCTCTGCAAACATCTAATATTGGGAATGTTTCGTCTAGATTGGGACAACCTCAAATCTTTCCAAGGATCATTAGTAGAATTTTCAAGCGAACAAGTGCATGTGAAGGGTTATATATCATTTAAGACCACATTTAGAATTGAGAAGAACGCCAAACAAATTAAGGTAAGATACTTTGTTATAGATGCATATCGATCATATAACATGATTATAGAGTGACACCTTCAACCAGCTGGGATCCTCCATATATACATTATATCAATGCATGAAGTACCCACTCTCAGGTGGGAGAATCAGGGTCATCTAGGAAAATCAGGAGATCACTAAAAAGTGATACATAGAGAGCCTGAAGCTGAAGAAGAGTAGGATTATGGGTGTGAACGGAGTTGGCATAATATTGAGAGCCAAGCCACGAGAGCAATCTGCCAATAAGTATCTTCTTCTGATCCCCTTCACACTCTCCTAGTTTAGGGAAGACATGTATTCATCTTAGGGAGTTATCTCTTGTGGAATGATCCCCAATTTAAGTCTATAAAATTCACTTAATGGGCTTCCGCTTGATGAGTGTTGGCTACGACCATTGTCTTTTTCAACTTCAGTCTCTCTCTGTGTAACACTTCATGGAAATCTCTTGATCCCCTTGAATCACCCCAACTCTCCGATATTTTATGCACATATACAAAGTAGATATGGTGGTCCCGAGCTGGTTGAAATCATGTCGCCATATAATTATGTTATATGAGGAAGGTGCATCTATAACCAGATATCTTACCTTGATCACCCTGGAATTATCCTCAATTCAAAATATGGTCTTCAACCCAATAGAGGAAGTCTACGAAGCTTCCTTAATTAATCATCTCTCTCTTGATCTCCAAATATTCATATTCTATAGTTATGATCATGGGGTCGTTGTCATCTAGTAATGCCTAGGTTTTCATGTTTAGTTGTTTTTAGTTTATATTTGTTGTATTGTTTTATGTTATGTTCATCATCGATTTGAAACATGTAATCGCCAAAATATTATGCAATAAATAAGAAGTCTGTGTGTCACAAAATATACATATAATACAACCAAAATAAAACAGATCTACATAGGTCCCCCACGAGCTACGTCGGCTAACCTAGCTAAACATGTATAAATCTCACCATCAAGGTTTACCAAACCCATGAGGTTATCTAAATAAATTGCAATAAACTATAGGCGTTTGTCCTGATCACATGCATATGGTGGAGGTGGTGGCGGCGGCTTCACATAAACCCTAGCACGTGAATGCCCCAGAACATCAGATGCCCTAGTCGGTGGTATGATCCGAGGGTGTGATACAATGTGATACCACTCCAGGTATATATCCTCGCACTATGAAGGATGTTGAACCTCAACTGATCTATCAGTGATCTCACAGGCAGAGCTGATGATATGACTCTGAAACCATGTGTCAATGCCACCAATTGAATCCTTTGAAACTAAACGAGGGATGCCTTGGATATAACCATGTTGTCAGACACCTCTCAAACAAAGGATAAAGGGAGAAAAAAATTAAGGAAAAATAAACTATGAGAAATTTTGAAATTTCTGATACAAAAAGTAAACCTTTGAAAATTTTCGGTATAACTTATAACATAATAACCGAAAATTTTCAAAATTTTCGGTATAACATATAACATAATAACCGAAAATTTCATAATTTTCGGTTAGGAAATACTGGAAATTTAAAAATTTCCGATACAAAAATACCATAAATAACTTACTATTTAGTGAAATCTCTGATATCATCTTGAAATTTCTGATATTTTTATATGAATTTGAAAAATACAATGTGATATTGAAAATTTAAAATTAAAAAAAAAATATTTTGGTTGAAATAGTTTAATCTTTCCATATCTTTAAAAGGGTGTCGTATCCAACCAAAAATAATAATTTAAAAAAATAAATAAATTAAACATAAATATAATCATAAGTGTCTGTGGGAGTGTCTAATATTAATACGGGAACACGTCATTCTTCATAGGTGTAGGGCTACCTATGATTATGAACGTATTGCTAAATTAGACAAATAATTGATTCTATGAATTGCAATAACGGTTTGTCCACAATCTGTTTGTCAAAATGTCACTCTAAATGTTATGTTTTGTAGCAACAACCCCTTATGGTGTATTCGAAGTGATGTGTTTTATGCGTTATTTTCTACGATGTTGGGGCCTTCCAACTTATAAACTCAGCTGTTTATTATGTACTGAACATAAAGCATATTTTTTTCCATTCTTAGAGCTATTGCGGCTGAAGTTTGTGAAGAGCTTTTTACTCCATGTCCTCCTCATGGCGAGCTTGCATTAAATGGAGTTGAAGTGTTTATGAATGCAAGTGCAAGTCACCACCAATTTAGAAAGCTTGATCTTCGTCTTCATGCTCTTACTAGTGCCACTCGTACTCGTGGAAGGGTTTATATGTACAGTAATCACCAAGGTTGTGATGGTTGTCAGATTAAATCATGGATTAACTTCAAAGTTTCTACTTCTTAGAAATGCATACTATATAAGTGGATCTGAATATCCAAGATTGCTTAAATATAGAGTGTAATGTCCTTTTATTAGATTACACGTCCTACATAAGGTTTAGATAATATTTTTTACTAAAATTGAAACATAAACTCTTGGTCTTGCACTTAGTTTCTTATATTTGTGATCCATGACTTACTAATTAACAAAGTTCTATCATCTTTTTGCAGTATGTTTGGGTGAAATGGTGTAACTACTATATTCTTTTGTTTTTCCTTTAACACTGATCTATTAGTTTTTGGTTAATGGGTATTTGACTTTTTGGTGTCCTAGTTCTTCTGTAATTTTTGTATCAATTAGTCACTTTTTGAAAACTATAATCAACTACCTCTATCTTTATTGGATAGTGTGATGAAGTTGATATAGAATGACTTATGAGGAACTATCAGTTTATGAAAGATTACGAAAAACTTTTCGTTGTGGTCCAGTTTCCATGTTGATATTTCATGTTCTCCATCATAATATATGAAAGTTAAAAATTTCCATATGTTATTTTATAAAAAAATTTATTGAAATAAATTACTTTAAATATGTTAGTGCGTAAGACACTTTTAGTGAGGAGAGAAAGAAAAAATAATAAAAAAAATAAATATTTGTATTATTGAATTGTACAATTGGATTTTTCGCCAGATTTATGGCTGACTTGTTGTAGATTTGCAACACTAGAGGTTTCTTCACTTCGACAGCCATTTTTTCAAGTACTGATCTGATCCAAATTGCTTGACATGCAGCATAGGATCCTGCTATATATTCAGCTTCGCAAGATGACAATGTCACCACAGGTTGCTTTTTCGAACACCATGAGATTGAGACACCAAATACTTGAAAGAAATATTCAGTTGTGCTTCTTCGATCCTCCTTATCTCTACACCAATTAGCATATGAAAAACAATTGATTATTGCTTATTTGCCTTCAGAATCTCGTCAAAATAGTATTTCACAATTTATCAAACCCTTCAAATATCTCAGGATTCTTCTTCCAGCCTTCACATGTGACACACTTGATTCACTCATATATCTGCTTACTAATCTAACTTTCATATGTTCTTGCAGCCTTCATATGTGACACTCTTGGTTCACTCATTATCGAATCATCCATTCTGAATCTCTTGAGTATCTCTTTGGCATACTTCTTTTGATGTAGTACCATATCTTGCTTCGTCATTTGAAATTCCATGCCTAGAAAATAAGACAATTTTCCCAAATCCGACATTTCAAACTCCTTCGTCATCAGCTCTTTGAACTTCGACAAGTTCTCCAAGCTATTTCCAATTACTAGCAAGTCGTTGACATATAAGCAGGTGATTGTTATATCTTGTGCTACAATTTGAACATAGACACCGTACTCTGATTTGCATTTGACAAATCCCAATTCGACTAAGTATGAGTCGATCTTCTTGTTCCATGCCCTATGTGTCTGCTAGAGGCCATAAAACGCTTTGTGCAACCTATATACTTTACCCGCTTCCTTCTGAATCACAAACCCACGAGGTTGTGTGACATAGACCTCTTTGTCTAAAGGGTCATTCAGAAATGTTGATTTTACATCTAAATGAAATGTCGATCAGCCTTGGTTGCATGCCAATGCTACCACTAGTCGAACAATCTCTAATCTTGCTATTGGAGCAAAAACTTCAGAATAGTCGAGTCATGCTCTTTGAAGAAAACCTCAAAGCTACTAATCTTGCTTTATGTCTTGCTATCGAACCATCTGCATTGTGTTTCAACTTAAACACTCACTTTACTTCGACAGTTTTTGTATGTGCTGGCAATTCGACTAACTCCCATGTGTTGTTTCTTTCGATTGTCTGTAACTCTTCGACCATAGTTAACTCCCACTTGTTAATCTTCAAAGCTTCATTATAATTGATTGTTTCAGCACATGCAAGTAAAGAAAAATGAACTAATTCTCCATTTGGTGTTACTTCATCATCACCAATCACTTCATAATCTAGAAGTCTTGTTGGAAGAACTCTATTTCTTTGAAGTCTTTGACTTGCTTCAGCCACAGCCTCCTCGACTTCAACTATCTCTGGAATGTCAACATTTTCTTCGACTCGAATATTTGTAATTTCTTCGACTTCAACTTCATCAGTTTCTTCTTCGAAACCATAACTCATCAATGGCTTGTTAATTGCATCATTATAATTTCAATCCCAGGCAAAATTTTCATCAATCACAATATCTCCACTCAACACAATTTTCTCATTAATTAGATTGAATAGTTTGTATGCACCAGTTTTATGATATCCTATCAGAATCATAGGTTCACTCTTGTCATCAAGCTTCCTTCTTCTCGCATCAGGAATATGCTTGTAACTCATAGAGCCAAACACCTTCAAATGACTTACTGATGGCCGTTTGTCACTCCAAACATCTTCAGGAATCTTGTTCTTCAAAATCTTAGTAGGACACATGTTCAAAATATGAACTGCAGTCGAAACAACTTCTCTCCATAAAGTCTTTGACAAATTTTTCTGCTTCAGCATGCATCTCACCATATCCAATATGGTTCTGTTTCTTCTTTCAGCAATTCCATTATGTTGAGGAATATAAGGAGCAGTTACTTAATGATCAACACCATATTCTGTACAGAAATCTTCAAATATCTTGAATGTGTATTCGCCACCTCTATCTGTTCGCAGAACTTTGATCTTCTTCTCACTCTGGTTTTCAACAAGTATCTTGAATTTTTTAAAGATTTCAAATACTTCATTCTTTCGTTTGATCACATAGATCCACAACTTTCGACTGTACTAATCAACAAACGAAACAAAATACTTGTTTCCACCAATTATATATTCTTCGAATGGACCACATACATCTGAATGTACCTCTTCACAGACGCGGACATAAACATTGCACAGAGAACTGACACTAATACAAAAATATGATCGAATATGATTACGCGTGTTCAGTGTTATATAGATATCCAACAATGTCATCAAAGATGCCAATTTGCAAATAGAAAAATTGATAATAATGGGCATAGAAACTTCAAATACTCCCTGCTCATTTCACAGAGAATCAAAGGCAAATAAATGTACCAAGACATACAATCAACTTGTAATGTAGTGTATACATACATATCAGGTCAAATAATCAAAGAATAAATCGCATAACATATATCCTTTGTCAACTTGAGAACAAAAAATGCAAATATTCAAATATTTATGTAATAGTTAGAATTAATAAAAGATCCATTAAGACTAAAAATTCTTCTAATCACAATTACACAATTCAACTTGCATTCTCACTCCTTAACATGCACAAACTAATAACCAAATATACATTTGTATCATTTAAAAAACAAAGAAATTTCTCAGAGAAGTAACTCTGAACAAAAATGTCTTACATTTCATAACAGCTAGCAAACAACACATCATTGAAGTTCGAAAAGGTTTTTCTCCATGTCGCTCAAAATATAACTAGGTGGTGTTGGTATTTTTTCTCAATGATAGCCTTGAAAATACTATTGAGGTAACCACATTAGAATGCACTTTAGTATTGGAAGTTATCTAATCCGTTTAGGACTACTACCACCTTCACTACAAAAAAGAAGCTCAGTTGCCACGTGAAAATCATGTGGCAAACATCAAAATCACGTGGCAAGGCAAAATTAGCGACGTGGTGAGTTATGTCGCTGGGGAGTAAGTGGCAAGCAAGTAGCGACGTGATTCCCACGTCACAAAGTTGTGACGTGGTATTCACGTCGCTACATATTACATAATGACAGCTTTATTAGCGACGTGAGAATCATGTCACTAATTTGTGACATGATTCCCACGTCGCTACAGGGGACGTTTATATTTTTTAAAAAATTGTTAATAATTAATTTTTATATTAATTCATTAATGTAATAAAATTTAAATAATAAAATTTATATAATAAAATTTAAATAATAAAATTTATATAATAAATTTATATATTAAAATTTATATAATAAATTTTATATAATAAAATTTATATATTAAAATTATTAGAATAATAGTATTTTATTTTATATTTCGAATAATAGAATTTTATAAAATAAATTCACATAATTAAATGTTATATAATTTATTAATTTAAAATGATAAAAATAAATATATCTTACATAAATGCAAATATAAAAACGAAATAAAAAAAATGTTTTCACGGGGCATCTTCACCCGGAAAATTATCAAGATCAAAGTCATCAAGTCCGTCATCATCCGGCTGTGTATGATCAGGAACATTTTGATTTCGACCGCCTTGCATAAACTGTCTCATCTGCTCCTCCATATCAGATTGCCGCTTCCGCATGATCTCTAACTGACGCTCCTGCTCTTGCCTCATTGTCGTCATTTGGGCCTCCATTTCGCGTCTCACTTCACTGGCCGCCAATTGTCGTACTGTTTCAAGTTGAACCTGAGTCAGATTGGGTTGACGTGACCCCCCTTCTCCATCTCTAAGTCTTTGAAACAGATTACGATCACCAACTCTCAAGCCGGCGGCCAAATTTCCTCCCGCAAAAAAGCAACCATTAGGCCCTTTTCCATTAACAACCTCATTCCAAATATAGAAATCAACATCCCCATTAAGCGGCTCCCCCTCTGCTGGCCTGTATTGCGGATTGTGTTCCAGAAAACGTGCTAGCAATGTCTGATAATCATCCTACACATACATTAAATAATACAATTAAAAAAAAATTAAAACATTTATATATTAAATTATACTAAATTCAAATATATTAAAAATTTGTCACGTGATTTTCACAAATCAACTTATGAATTGCCACGTGAGTTTCCCGTGGCAATGTATCAGTTGCCATATGAAAATCAGTCACCTGGCAATTTATCAGTTGCCACATGATAATCACGCCACAACTTATAGATTGCCACGTGGAAATAACGTCACTATTTTTGTTATTAACTTAAAAAAAAAACATAAGTTTAATTACTTACAAAAGCTTTCTGGGTGCGGTCGTCGACAAAACCTCCCGA